GTGTGTGTGTGTGTGTGTGTGTGTGTGTGTGTGTGTGTGTGTGTGTGGTGAGTGTGTGTGTGGGTGTGTGTGGTGGTGGGTGTGTGTGTGTGTGTGTGTGTGTGCGTGTGAGTGCGCGTGTGCGTGAGTGTGGCAGTTCGTTTGCGTTGTGGAAATGAAAGTGCAGCGATACAGGTGAGTGCCGCTGTTCGAAAGAGAAGCAAAGCAATCAAGGGAATCACACCTTGATGGGGCGATAGTCGGACTTTGATGAAGGAACCAGGGGTCCGCTTGCATCACTGGCAGACCACAAGAAGGCCATGGTGGTGCTTGCTCCTCCTCTTGCTTCTTTGCTTCCTTGTCTCTTGCTTTGCTGCTGCAATCAACAGTTGCGGCAAAGCCAAGCAATGTAAGTGAAGCGTTGACGGGCGACGATGGCGACAACATGAAGCAAGTCGAGGCACGGTAAGACACAGCAAGGCAAGGCGAAGCAACTCGCGCACTGGTTGATGGCGTGGCACTGCCTCCGGGAAATGGGCGTTTCACCTAAATCTTCCATGGAAAATCTCATGCTGCTGTGAGCGATGCGGTGGTGGCGATCGTGTGTGGATTTGCGCTCGGGAAGCGGAAGCAGCTGCTTGTTTGTCTGCTTGAGTGGTTGGCTTTGCTCTCGTGCTCTTGCTTGCTGTCAGCTGGGTCTTCCTTTCGTAGCTTGCTGTGTGGCAGTACTTGACAGAGGGGAGAGAGAGAGTGTGTGTGTGTGTGTCTGGATGGGTGTCGTGGGAGGAGGAGACGGTCTTTGCTGACTGTATTGTAATGGATATGCGACAAGGCAACACACACGTCGTGGGCGTGCATGTTGGTTGGAAGAACGAAAGGGATGTCGAGGGATTAGCCAAGAGTGAGAAGAAGGAGAACACAGGCACACCGTGACACGCCTCCGCACACCTCAATTCCCTCCCTCATTTCACTTGACCAAGCGACGTGCGACAGGTAATGAACAAAACAGGGGAAAGAGCAACTGGGCTGGTGCAGGTAACAGCATCATCATCATCATCATCAGGTCTGGTTGGACATGGACGGCGGGGATAACAACAGCGCTCAACCGCGCTGCACACACGCACACAAGTTAACGCACACAAGTGAACACAGTCAACACCATCAATGCTTGCGATAGGTTACACTTTACAACAAGCAAACAAAGCACAACATGACACTCCAATCAACATTTATCAGCCAGAGTAGTTGAGGCCGTTGAACTGGTTGTCTGTGGGAACTGAGGGAAGGCCCTGGGAGAGTGCTGCGTCAGCGGGCATTTGATACGATGGCGTGGTACCGTTGACCGCTGCTGGAGGCATTCCAAGCGCCGGCCCCGCAGCCGTCGCTGTTGCTTGCATTGTCGCTGTCGTTGTCGTTGCTGTTGTGTTGTTCGTTGGGGAAGTGGTGGTGACCGATGAAGCAGGTGAGGCCGGCACTTCCTGTGTGGCCTGCTGTGTTGCGCTGAACAACGTGTTGATGTCAAACGTTTCTTCCGAGTACTCCGACAGCCCCATCCGCGCAATAAAATCTTGGCCCTGCAAGATGGTGTTTGTTTGTTTGTTTGTTTGAGGTGCGGTTGGGGAGCAAAGGGGTAAGAAAAGGGGGAGGGGGGTTGCACAGCGTGCACGTATGGAGGGAGGTGAAGTGGTGGCGGCGGCTGTGGTTGTGGCGGTGGTGGTGCCGGTGGTAGTCGACGCAACGGCACGCACCCAAACCCTTCTCACACTGCTGAGGTGTCATGGAACGTACCCGGCGTTCTCGCAGCACGCTCTTGAGCGAAGCAATTTCCTCTCGCAACCGCTTCATTTCCTCCTACAACGAAGCACAAACGCGAAGGACGGTGCGCATCGATGAGGAAGAGAGAAGCGGGAGGGGAGAAGCGGGAGAGGGGATGCAGAAAAGGGAAGCAGAAGGGGGGGAAGGGAGAAGGGAAAAGGCAGGGGGGAGAGAGCGGCACGGTCAGAGACAAGACAACACACACATACACACACATACACACACAACGGCTCAAACACACACACGCGCGCACACACGCACACACACGCACACACACGCACGCACACGCACACACACGCACACACACGCACACACACGCACACACACGCACACGCACGCGCACACACGCACACGCACGCACACACACGCACACGCACGCACGTACCAGGGCTTGTTTGTTCTCTTGCACGAGGGCATTTTCACGCTGCTGCAGATGCTGTTTGCGTTGCTTCTTGCGCTCGCGGCAGCGGGTGGCGGCAGCTCTGTTGATGGTGTGGATTGATGTTGGGAGATCCCGTAGGTTAAATCAGGCAAAAGCAGATGAGACTGAATGGCCACAGAAGAACCAACACCAAAGATTATGCGCAGCACATGTATCACCGACACACACACACGCACACACACACACACACACGCACACACAAAGAAAGAAAGAGCACGGAGCATGGAGCATGGAGCATGGAGCATGGAGCATGGACACAATGCAGGGCAAAGGTGCATCCAGCACATGTGGGCACGCAAGCTGACCTGTTGCGTTCCAGTTCCTTGGTCTTCTTCTCGCCTGAGGCGGCCTTCTTGCGGGACTTTGGTGCAGGTGTTGGCCTACAGCACAGAGCCATGCATACACGCCGTGGCACAATCTGAGTCAGAGAGGAACATGGCTGTGCGCGCGCAGATGGTTTGCTTCTGGCAAAACCAACCCCGGCCAAACAAAGGCAGCAACACAAGCATAACAAACGCTGAACTCACGTTTTTGGGACGGTGGTCTGGGAGCAGTTGGAGGACGCGGGGCAACACCAGGCAGGCACACGAAGGAAGGCGTGAGGAACCGACCACACCACCAAACACAGCGCAGATACAACATACATCCACACACCACACACACACACAACACACACACACACACACACACACACACACCCAGGCTCACCGCTGGGGCCTTTGTTGAGGCCTTTCCTCGTTTTGCGGGAGGCATCGTTGTGCAGGCGTGCTGGCGACAAGCAACCTCGGCTGGCTGGTGAAGGACGACGACGACGATGACGACGACGGTGATGCGTTGGGGTGGCTGGTTGCTGCTTTGACAGAGGAATGTGTGTGTGAATGCAATGATGAATGCGCAACAAACAAACAAACAAACACACACAAACGAGATAGGGTGGTGGCGATTGAGTGCAATTGTTTTCGCCCGCAGGACAGCACCACGACCAACACCACAACCGCAACCAAAGAAGAAGCAAGTCGTGGCACAACAACAACATCGGTCCCCACACTCACCAAGTTCCCCTCGACTCTGTCGCTTCGAAGCGGCTTGCTCGTGCTCATCACCGCAAACAATGCCCGGTGGTGGCGCCGTGGCGGTTGTGCTGGTGGTTGTGATGGTGATGGTGGTGGTGGGGTGCTGCGGCGTCAGTGGCGTCAGCAGCAGCGGCAGCAGCAGTGGTCGCGCTAACACTGATATGCACGTGCAGCCCACTTCATGGGGGATTCCAACAACAGCAGCAGCAGCAGCAGCAGCAGGTGGTAGCCTGGCGCCGTCTTGGCTGCGCCGCTGCGCGTGCCGGGAGCTCTTGGCCAACTTCACACGGGAGCGACCGGGTCCTTTTCCAGTGGAGATGCAGCTGAGCGAGGAAGACCGCGTCGCCTTCTCACACAACGGCACCACGCCCGTGGAGGTGTACGTCGTGGACGACACCAACAAGGGCCAAGGAACCCACTACAAGTTCTCTGGCAAGGCCATCGAGCGCATGGTACAGGCGGCACGTGGCCTGCTTGAAGGCAAACCCTCACAAGGGCCACTTAGCCACATCCAACAGTGGTTCATCGAATCTATGCAGCGGCATCTCCTTCCTCAAGGGCAGCTTCCAGCGGCCTCCTCCGCCGTTGTGTGGGGTGCAACCTCGCCGTGGTACGAGGCCATGCTCCTTGCTGCAGGCGTCGACCATGTGACAACCATCGAATACAACCAGCTCACCTATGACGACGATCGCCTCGCCACCGTCCAGCCACACCAGCTCGGCGCAAGCACATCAACAGAAACAGCGTCAGTGGGTAAGGGGGATGGGCAGACGCACAAGCACAAGCAGAAGCAGAGCCGCCGCCGCTGGCCGCAGTTTGATATCGCCGTCAGCACGTCGAGCTTTGATCACGACGGACTGGGCCGTTACGGCGATCCCAAGGACCCCTTTGGCGACATCAAGGCCATGAAGATTTCGCGGTGCTTGCTCAAGCCTGGTGGCCTTATGTTCTTTGCCGTCCCCATTGGCCCAGACGTCACCGTCTACAACCTGCATCGCAGGTACGGCCAACGTTCTGTGTGTGTGTGTGTGTGTGTGTGTGTGTGTGTGTGTGTGTGTGTGTGTGTGTTACTGTGTGTGTATGTGTGCATTACTGTGTGTGCGTGTGTGTGTGTGTGCGTGTATGTGCGTGTGTGTGTGTGTGTGTGTGTGTGTGTGTGTGTGTGTGTGTGTGTGTGTGTGTGTGTGTGTGTGTGTGTGTGTGTGTGTGTGTGTGTGTGTGTGTGTGTGTGTGGTGTGAGTTACTGTGTGTTTTACTGTGTGTGTGCGATCGCCCGCGGGCCGTGTATTTGTATCTGGCTGCCTCCGCGTCCTTCACCCACCCATCTCCAACCAACTCACCAACCTTAACAACCACCGCCACCGCCACCAGGTACGGCGAGCTGCGTCTGCCGACCATGCTTGAGCAGTGGGAGATTGTGGACATCATTGGATGGGACCCGGCCCGGCTCACGGCGCCAGCAGACTTCCGTCGCTCGTATGAGCCCATATTCGTCCTGCGCAAACCACAGCGCAAGGCAAGCAAGCCCAGGCAGCAGCACCAGCAGCATGGGGAGTTGTAATCTGCAAAGCCTGTGTGTGTGTGTGTGTGTGTGTGTGTGTGTGTGTGTGTGTGTGTGTGCGTGTGTGTGTGTGTGTGTGTGTGCGTGTGTGTGTTGCTTGTCCCTGTCTGTATCCATGTGGGCTTCGCCCACGCTAGGATGTTCATTCACGCTAGGATGGTTGTTGACCCGCTGTTCAACGGTGTGTTTAAAGACAAACCAACCAACTAGACGAAGAGACTCGCACTCACATTTGCACGTGTAGCTAAGAAGAACTGTGCAGCAAGACCAGACACACATACACACACATGCACAAGAACAAAGGGGGCAGAGGGGGGAAACTACGACGGTGAAGAACGGAAACAATGGAAACGATTGCAACGATGACAATGATGGCAAGAGCAACGCGAGCAGCAAACACCACCCATCATCGCCAACAGGGCAACGGAGGGGGGGGGCGCTCAGATGCGCACGATTGGCTTCTCCTTTGCAGCGAGGAGGTTGACCTGATGATGTCATGAACCAACGACGAGGGAGAAATAGAGGGCAGATGCACATGATGTGAGCATGTGAGCACTTGGTAGTGGTGGACAAGAACACAATCGAGGACGCAAAGGGGCACGCGCACGCGCGTGTGATCTCAAGCGTGCACATGGCACACGACAGTGGCTTGTGGCTTGTCGGGTACAGACGGGAGTATCATAATTCACACCTTTGGGCCAATGAGGTCGCGGATGTTGGAGTACCCGTACTTGATCATCGTGGGCCTGCACACGCACAGCCACGCGCCACATGAGCAGTTGAAGATGTGTGTACATATGTGTTTCTGTCTCTGTCTGTGTGTGTGTGTGTCTGTGTGTGTCTGTGTGCGTATCTGTGTCTGTGTGCGTGTGTGTGTGTGTCTTTGTGTGTCTGCGTGTGCGTGTTGTGGACGACTGACCGCTCGAGGGAGAGACCCCACGCGATGACGACGACGTCCTCCGGCAGGCCCATCGGCCGCAGCATCTCCGGTCGGAAAATGCCTGCAACGCGTGGTGGCGGGAGTAGTTCAATGAGATGCCCATGTGAAGTGATGCAAAAGGGAAGGACGGCGCTCCCAATGCACCACAGACCAAACACGCACTCACACACACACGCATGCACGCACGCACACACGCACTCACACACGCACACGCACATTACACACGGTGCACGCACACGCACATTACACACGCACACACACGCCCACACACTTTACATACACGCATGCGCAACGGACCTGAGTTGCCAATCTCGACGACCTTGTCGAGCCCCTTGTGGTAGGAGAAGACCTCCATGGAGGGCTCCGTGTACGGGTTGTACGCCGGCTTGAAGCGAAGGTCCTCAATGCCAAGCCGCTTGAAGAACGACTCCAGCGTCCCAATGAGATCCCCGAGCGTCAGGTTGTAATCCGCAATCACGCCCTCAATCTGCACAGGTCACAGGCGGGTTTGGTTAAAGGGTAATGAGCGGGGGAGTCGGGGTGGCAGGGTGCGTGAGAGAGAGTGTGTGTGTGTGTGTATGTGTGTGTGTGTGTGTGTGCGGTGTGTGTGTGTGTGTGTGGGTATGTGCGGGTGTGTATGTGCGGGTGTGTATGTGTGTGCGGGGTGTGTGTGTGTGTGTGGGTATGTGCTTGTGCACGGACCTGGTGGAACTCGGCGAGATGTGTGGCGTCGAGCGTTTCGTTGCGGAACACGCGGTCAATCGAGAAGTACTTCACGGGCTTGAACGGCTTCTGCTCCCACACCAACAAACATGTGTCGTGTGCGTGTGTGTGTGTGTGTGTGCGTGTGTGTGTGCGTGTGGGTGGGTGGGGTGTGTGTGTGTGTGTGTGTGTGTGTGTTATGTGTGTGGGTGAGTGAGTTGATAAAAACCGAGACAAATCGCACATCGCCATGCAAAACTAACACGAGAAACGAGTGTATGCGGGGGCATCAGCCTAATTACAAGCTGCACGCGTTAGACCAGCTGCCTCACACTACTGCGACGTACGTTCTGTGCGAGTTTGTACAGCATGCGAGCGCTAACGGCCGTCGTGTGCGTGCGCAGGATGTTCTTCTGCGCCTCCTCAAGCTTCCAGTCGTACTCATACCTGAAATCGACACACACACGTGTACACACGCATGAAATGAAAAGGTTGAGCGGTAGACAAAGGGTGGCCGCACATAAGCGCGCAACACTGCGTTCACCAATAGCAAGCGCCCGTGCCAACAACAAGAAACGTCTGTACAACTCCACCTCCACCAACGAACAGCCTCCCTCCCTCCCTCCCTCCCTCCCACTGTGTGTCGTCATGATGATGATGGTTGTGAGCGCACCCCTGGCTGCCATAGCCGCCGCCGTTCTCGTGCGTCTGCTTCACGCGCTCAAGATACTCTGGGGGAAAGTCGGTCGACTTCTCGGGAACTGCAACACGCACGTAGGTGGGAGGTGGGTACGTCAGCGTGATAACGAACGTACGTGAGTGTGTGTGTGTGTGTGTGCGTGTGTGTGTGTGTGTGTGTGTGTGTGTGTGTGTGTGTGTGTGTATGTGTGTGTGTGCGACTGCTGTTTTGCGCATGGTCCCGTCTAGGCTGTTGCGGTGGTGTGAGTTGCACAAGCATGGCAAGCATGGCAAGCATGACAGCACCAACTGCACAGGAATGTGCGTGCATGTGTATGCATACTCACGACTCATGAAGAAGGTGTCGTGTGCATCGCGGGCCGGGTGCTGCTGCGGCTGGAACAGCGCATCGAAGTTCCAGAAGGCGCTGACGTGGACATACACACATACATACACAAGCAATCACACATACACATGAAGCACATGCGTATGACGGCATGCGTATGTGAGCTGCACGACAGGTACAAGGGCCGTCAATGCAATGACAATGCCAGCAAACTCCACCACTGCTGCAACACAAGCCACGCATCACCACCACCACTATCACCACCACCAATGCCACCACCACCAATGCCACCACCACCAATGCCACCACCACCAATGCCACCACCACCAATGCCACCACCACCAATGCCACCACCAATGCCACCACCACCACCCCCGCTATGCTCAATTGGCACGGGAGGGCTGACCTCTCGACGAAGCGGCTGGTGGGCATCTCCTCGAATCCCATCTCGAGGAAAATCTGGCGGTACTCCGTGCGGACCTTCATCAGCGGGTGCAGCGCAGCATAGTTGACGGGCGTGCCCAGTGCCTGCAGGTTGAACTGCTTGAACTTGGTCGTCTGCCACGACCCGTCGGCCAGCATCTCCGGCGTCAGGTCTGCCCGCAGCGTGAGGGGAGGCGTGGTGGTGGTGGTGATCGGAGCGTGAGGAGAGGGGTGAGGGTGCGGGCAGCGAACGGACTCGCAACGTAAAGTAGCAAACAAAGGGTACACAGACCATCCACACACACACACACGTTCACACACGTTCACACACACACACACACACACACACACACACACACACACAAGCGCTAGCAGCACACCTGCCTCCCTCTTCTCGAGGGTGAGGGAGAATTCGCGGCCCTTGGAGATTGCGTACGTCGTAAACTGCCTGCAGTTGGCACAGTATCATCACAACACACATTCGCACACACATTCGCACGCACGTGAACAGCAATGCGTGAGCGGTCATATGGGCACATGAATGCTTGTGTGTGCACTCGACTTGTTCGTCAGGAACGTGCTCACTGTGTGTGCGTGTGTGTGTGTGTGCGTGTGTGCGTGTGTGCGCGCGTGTGCGTGTGTGTGTGTGTGTGTGTGTGTGTGCGTGTGTGCATGTGTGCGTGTGTGTGCGTGTGTGTGTGTGTGTCGTGTGCTGGCGGCGTGCTACATGTGAGAGCAGGTGTGATGGTGGCGGTCGTTGCAGTGTGCGTACTTCTTCTCGATGAGCTTGCGCTTCTTGAGGTCCTTGAGGACGGCTGTGTTCTTCAGCATGTCCGCGTCGTCCGCCTGGATCGCCTGCAGCTGCTCCTTCACCGTGTCCTTCAAGTCCTCCGCCTGATGCATGCAAGCAACACGTGGTATCGTGGCGTCGTGGCGTTGCACGTGTCAGGGCTATAATGCAGAAGAAACACCGCCAAGACAAGGCGTCTGCGCTCTGGCACACACCACATCACCACATCAGCACATCACCACATCAGCACATCACCACACGCTGCGACGTACGATGCGGGTGACGATGGTCTGGTCGCCTTTCTTCTCCGTCTTGATCCACTTGAGCTTGATGGCCTTGCCCAGACCAACGTTGCCCATCTGTCCAACCTCCGCCTGTCATGCAAGAAGGGCATGCCACGCAGCACAGCAATGAGTACGTGTTTAATGGCGCATAGCATGTATTCCACAGAGATGAGTATGTTACCAGGAAGGAACGGTACACAGACACGCTCACAGACAACCAGCAAAACAAACCAACCTCAGCCAGGACACCTTGCTCATATCCCAACACACACACACACAGCCACAGCCACAGCCACAGCCACAGCCACACTCACGAAGATTTCGTCGCGGGAACGGCCCTCGGGTGTGGCGCGAGATGCGACTGCCACCTCCGGGCTGCCATGAAGAATGACGTTGGCGCCTAAAGAAGAAGAGCAGGCATGATTGCGCCGCGGGGATGTGAGCATCAATCATGATAAGCAATGCAAGCAAGGGTTATACGAGCACATCAAGGGCATGAGAAAAGATGAAGGAGGAAGGCGACTGGACAGGGAAGAAAGATGCACACAAAACAAGGAATAGTCAGACATTCGTAGGTCAAGATAAGAACACGTTCATGCGTACCTTCTGCAGTCACCTCCCAGCGCTCGACCTTGTTCTCCTTTGTTTCCAGGATCTGCAGCGTGTCAAGTCCAAAAATGCAGTTGAGTGACAGGAAGAGAGATGCGCGGTGAGCGGAGGTGTAAGACGTTCGCGCACAGCACAGTGAGTGGCACAAAGGACAAAGACACCGACACGTCATGGCATCCGCTATACCATGCCATGCCATGTAACAACGCATGACGCGCGACGCAGCACGACACAGCACAGCCACCGCAATACGCACGTCGCCGTAGGACTGGATGCTCTTCATGAAGCCAACAATGACATCGTGGTGCACTTTCCACTCTGCCGCCAGTTCGCGGCTGAAGCACGCGCCGTGCGTGTCCACGACCTTCAACAGGTCCCTGCAGCCATCCAAGCGAGGCAGCGAGGCAAGCGAGGCAGCGAGCGTCGCATGAGCGTGCCAGAGCACAAACTTCAAACCCGCCCACCACGCACACACACTGTTTCTCTCGCTCAGGCACGAACAAGCACACACACACACACGCACATCAAAGGTTTCGATACACATGTGTACGCACGCCGCTCCTTATCCCTCTCTTTGACCGTCTCTCACACTTACTCCTTCTGCTTTGCAGGCATGGCGTCTGTCTGTCGGGGGGGGGGGGGTGTCGGTGTATCTGTTCACTCAGCGCAACTCAGCTCCGCTCGGCACGGATAATGGCACGGAAGACAGCAGCACAGCGTAACACACGAGGAGATGGATGTTGGCGATTGGCGGAAGATGTTCGTGAATATTCACAGGCACTGTCGCCAAGGACAAGCAGCACAACAGACAGAGGAGAGGCAAGAGGCAAGCACAACAGCAAGCACAGGAGCACCAGCAACAGCACCAGCAACAACAACACAGAGGCGGCGATGCCACCGAAGAAGAAGGCAAGCACGAAGAAGGGCAAGGGCAAAGGGAAGAAGAAGAGCAAGTCAGACAAGAAGTAAGTGTATCCTTTCGTTTCACGGGCGAATAAATGGTCTGAGCGTGTGTGAGAAGAAGAGAGGCAGGAGGAGGGTTGTGTGATTTGTTTTGAATGGTTTGTGCTGATACGCTTGTGCAGGTGTGCTTGTGAGGATGTTTGCAACGGACTGAAGCCATCAGCTGTCGAGTGTGTGCACCAAAGTGATCTTGCACACGACGCCGCATACTCATTTTAACCTTGACGCTGCGTGTTGCCTGTCGAGCAGAGATGGAGAAGAAAAGCCAGCGCCGCACATCATGACGAATGAGGAGAAGCTGTGGGCCACTCGCTTTGCCATCAGCGAGAAGGCCCGCAAGGACCACCGCGAGAATGCATCAGTCCTCATCCAAGCCAACGCAGGCCTCGAGAACAAAATGCAGGAGGTGTGTCTGCGTCTGTGTGCGAGGGCGTGTGTGCGTGTGTGTGTGTGTGTGTGTGTGTGTGTGTGTGTGTCTGTTTGTGTGTGTGTGTGTGTGTGTCTGTTTGTGTGCGTGCATGAGTGTGCAAGGATGAAGAGTTGAACAGCTTCTGCGCTGGCGATGCGTCCACTTCAGCGTGATTCGTGTCGCTTTGGCTTGCGTGCTCACCTTTTTGCCCCTGCTTTGCATGGTCTGCTAGATGGAACGAGACACCATGGAGGTTGTTGCGTTCCTTCGCCGCGATTTGGCCAAGGCCGAGGATGAGCTCAAGGCCGCCAAAGACCACGTCGCAGAGGTGTGTGTGTGTGTGTGTGTGTGTGTGTGTGTGTGTGTGTGTGTGTGTGTGTGCCGGAAGCAGATACTGGTGTGGCTCCCTGCTGGTCTGTCGCGGTCACGCATGTGCTGACACAGGCAGTGACTGGCTTGGCATGCTGGGGTGCAACAGGTGCGTCGAAGAACGCAACAGGAGATTGAGGCTGTGGAGGACGACTGCAACAACAAAGTCATGGAAATCCAACAGCAGCTCAAGGACCGCACAGTCGAGGTCTGTAACTGGGTGTGTGCGTGTGTGCGTGTGTGTGTCGCTTTTGTTACATCTTGTCTGCCGTCTGTCCTCTGTTCTCTGTTCAGGCCGTTGCCAGTCAGCCCAGCTGTGCTGCTATTTGTGCCACGCACCCTGCTCTGTTTTCACGCTGCACATCTCGCGTGCATGCAGCTGGAGGCCACGCGACGCGAGCTGTTCTCGCTGCGCGAATTCAAGCACAGACGAGAGGAGATTGAGCGAGAAGTGCTGGACTTGCAGGTGCGCACAAAGGGTGATGATGAGAGGTGGCGAACATGGGGGTGGCTGCGTTAAGTTTTGATGGCTAGTGTGGTGTTGTCGCCTATGTAATTGGCACTTGGTGGCACGCATCATTCCGTTTGCATGGAACGTTTGCATGAGGACACGTGATGTGGACTCACCCGTTGTTGCGTGTGCCTGTTCGTAACACAGGACAAGAACAGGCAGCAAGTGGCTGCGTTTGAGAAGGAGAAGCAAGCAATGGAAACGAAATTCTTCGAGGAGAAGGTACCACACAGCACAGCCCGCTTCAGGGCGCACATGCCATGTAGCAGCAGCATCACGTGTGCACATGAATACATGCATGTGTTTGTATGTGTATGACCTGATACGCTGCTCGATATCACAGCATGTGACATGTGTCCCAACTCACGCTCGTGTGTGTTGACAATGTATCACAACCTCCATTGTTGTTGCGTCTCTCTGCTTGTTCTTGCATCAGGCGCGGCTGCAACAGACGACCGAACGACAACTCAACATGCTGGCCAAGAAGGCACACGAGGAGGCAATAAAGTGCGATGTGTGTGCACAAGCCCTCGCTACTTGTGCATCCTCACAGTGGCTCGTAGTGAGAGACTGCATGTGTTGAGGCTACGCTCACATGAACCACCCAACTCTCGACCTCATGTTTACGTGTGCGTGTGTGTCTGTCTGCGTTTGTGTGCGTGTGTGTGTATCTGTCTGTCTGTGCGTCTGTCTGTTTGTGTGTATCTGTGTGTATGTGTGTGCAGGAATCTCGGCGTGTCGTCGCGCCACACGTTTGAGGAGAACGAGCGCTTGACAGAGGAAATCAAGCTGCACCTCACCGAGAACGCAAAACTCAAAAAGGTTCGTGTTGTGTTGTGTTGTGTGTTATGTTGTGTCGTGTGTGCGTGTGTGTGTGTGTGTGTCGTGTGTGTGTGTGTCGTGTGTGTGTGTATGTGTGTGTCGTGTGTGTTGAGTTGTGTGTGTGTGTGTTGTGTTGTGTGTATGTGTCTCTCTGCCTGTCTGTTTGTCTGTCTCCAATTTGACTTACCCAAACTCGGCCTCCGCCTCATTGCGCAATCATGCACCGGCAACGGCAGGATGTGCAAGCACTGCAGGACAAAGACATGCACCTTCAGCTTGAGCTTGAGGAAAAGAGTGGCCTGGTGACGGAGCAAGCAGAGGCGCTCACAGCACACAAGGAGAAGACACGCCAGCTCCAGCGAAAGGTGTGTGCGTGTGTATCTGTCCGTGCGTGTGTCTGTGTCTGTGTCTCACTTGAAGTGATTTTTGATACCGTGAGTGGCCCTTACACCACGGCTCGTTTCCCACCACTATTATTGCCTTGTGCTGTGAATGTGTGAAGGTGTTTGCGTTGGAGGAGAAGTTGACGGCCATGACGCAAGAGCACGCGCGAACAAAACGCGAAATGGAGCAGGAGGCGCTTGACGCAACCGCGGACCTCAGGTCCATTGCCTGTGCTGCTGCTTTGAGTGTCTGTGTGTGTGTGTGTGTGTGTGTGTGTGTGTGTGTGCGTGTGTGTGCGTGCGTGCGTGTGTGCGTGCGTGTGTGTGTCTGTGCATACATCCGAGTATTTTGTTCCCTCTCTTCTGCCTGCTTTGACTGTGTTGGCATCCTTCCTCTTCATGTCTTCGTGTCTGTTGCAGGCAAACGCTCGCGGCAACGCAGCAAGCGCTGGCCCTGAAGACTGCGGAGTTGAAACGCATTCGTCACCTCGCGCGCAATGTGCTCAAGCAACGAACAGAGGTACAGCAGTCTGAGTCATGTCTGTACCTTGCATGCGAGACATGCGTGCATTTGCGCGTGTGTTCGTTGGTGTGTCTCTTCTTCTTCTTCCTCTCCCTCCATCTCTCCCTCTCTCTCTTCCCCTCTCCATCTCACGTCACTATGCCGCTGCTTCGTGTGTTGGTGCAGGTTGAGCAGTTCTTCATTGATTCCCTGCGCTACGTCCGGCAACAAATTGTCGACACACGCGCCGAATACGTCAAGGTGTGCGTGTGTGTGCATGCATGTGAGCATGTGCATGTGTGTGGGTGATGATGATGATGATGATGATGATGATGATGATGATGATGATGATGATGATGATGATGATGATGGTGATGATGAGGGTGGTGTTGGTAATGATGGTGATGATGATGATGATGAACTCACCTGTGCGCATGCTTCCCCTTGCCTCTCTCCTCTGCTTCGCCTCAACCTCCTCCCTCCCTCCCATCGCTCCCCATACCGCCCATCGTTAGTATGTGCGCGATAAGTACAACCAGGACATGCGTGCTGGCGCCCGGACGGGGCAGCTGCCAAAAGTCGCCACATTCGGCAAAGGGTCAGTGACGATGGCAGACGTCTGTGTCAGTCTGTGTCTGTCTGTGTCTGTGTGTCTGTGTGTGTGTTCGAGTGAACGACATGTGTTGTCGTCCATTCTCCTTCGTTGTGTTGATTGGTTTTTGCTATCTTCTTTTGTTATTCGCTGCCACTGCAACGCACCACAACAGCACGGGTTCTGTTGCCGCGGAATTTGAAAAGGCCGAGCAGTCCGTGCCAGAAGACTTTGCAGAAATTGACGTCACGGTGTGTGGCCCTCTTCATTGTGTGTGTGTGTGTGTGTGTGTGTGTGTGTGTGTGTGTGTGTGTGTGTGTGTGTGTGCGTTCTTGTCCCGTTTTGGTGTACATACATTTCTGCCTCACCTCAGCCCCACTCGACCTCGGTTGTTGTGTCGTGTGTGTGTGTGTGTGTGTGTGTGTGTGTGCTGTGCCAGACCCTCACGTGGGAGCAGCGGGAGCAAGTGCTTCAGCGCGTGTTTGCCAAGATCAATGGCGTGAAATACCAGCGGTGGGTGACACTTTGTGCTGCGCGTTGTCTGAGACGCGTCGTTTTGGGAGTCCTGGGTCTGTGCGTCTCTTTGCTTTGATTGTGCCCCTGCTTGTTTTCCGCGCGTGTGTGTATCTGTGTCTGTGTGTATGAGTTCCCTCTCTCTGGGAGCTGCCTCCTTTTGCCGTTCTCCTTGTTCCTCCCGACTGTGTGTGCGGTGCAGCGTATTCATTAACACCGGCCAACGTGTGCTCGTGCCTGCAGCCCGACCGACGCCCATCAACAACAGCAGCAAGCGGCATCATCGTCCACGCAACAGCCGCGACCTCCAGCCATTGGCCACTCATCGGGCGGGCGCCGGCCCCTGTCCGCAACCGCCACACAGGCAATGCAGGCTCTCACAATGTAGCAGCGTGATGTGTGATGTGCGTGAGTGTCGGAGTGTTGTTCATATTGTGGAGCTTGTCAAGCTTCTTAGTTACTGTTGCTACGACACCTTTGATTTGCAGTGCATTCGACTTTATATTTCGTGTCATCCCTGTGCTGTGTTTGGTTGTTTTTTGTTTCCCCTCTCTCGCACCCCTCCCCTCCTTCCCCTGGTCTTCTTGTGAAAACGAACATAAACAGCGGCATGATGTGTGGTTGCTGTGACACGTCCCACACCAGTGTTGAACATTGGGAACCAAAAAAAAAAAAAAAAAAAGAAATAACACACAAAAAAAAACGAAACAATAACACACAATACATCTTTTGTTTGGAGAGGGAAATGCTACATCACGTGTATGACCCCTCTTGCTTCTTGGGCTTGAGCTGACCAGGCTGACAGACAAAGCAGCCGTGGACGACGATTTGATACAGGTGATTGCTGATTTTGATCGTCGAAAAGCCAATATACACACACCACGGTGTTCACTGGTCCACGCACCAAGCCACTTGTTAACCTAATTTATTCGGATCATAACCAAGTGGCCGAGTAACTATCCTGCATGGGCGTGTGCTCGTGTGACCAAACACACGGACAAAGCTGCGCTGTACCGGCGAAAGTCACGCCTCGCTCCGGCTGCAGGTGATTGGAGGAGCGAACGGGCCATTGTGGGTTCCGTGCACCGACACAGCCCGCACCCATATCGTCTGCGCTGGCAGTGACAACACAGCGGCTGCATCAATGGCAATAAAGGGGTCTGCACAATGCGTAAACAGGACGAAGCGCGTGAGCAACAAAGGAACGGCTGCTGCTTTGCCAACGCCTGAGCACACCCATCACAAGAACCCAGCAAGCCGTAAAAGCTGCAAATGCAAAAGGCAAAGGCCAGAAACAGAGCAAAGTGACCTGATGTCTGGAAGACGCGCAGCAGCTCCTGCACCCACACTTCATAGTGGCTGACACGCACGTCATCCGCGTTGATCGGCGGCGTCCACGCTACCACGAGGGCTGGCGTGCATGTGCATGTGTATGTGTGGTTGTGTGTGTGGAGGGGAGAGGGTCGGTGCATGAATGACGTGTGGGTGTGAATCAACATGGAGTCAAGCCAGGTCAAGCAAAATACTTCAACCATGAAACACTGCAGGACGAAGAGACACAATACAATACCCCTTTTGTTTTCACACACACACACACACACACACACACACACACACACACACACACACACGACACGACACACACACACACACACACACACACACGCACGCACACACACACACACACGCGCGCACGCACACACACACACACACACACACACACGCACACACACACACACACACACACGCACGCACGCAAGCACACACACACGCACACGCACGCGCACGCGCACGCACACACACACAAAAACTCGCCACGCACACACACACACACACACACACACACACGCACGCACACACACACACACACGCGCGCACGCACACACACACACACACACACACACACGCACACACACACACACACACACACGCACGCACGCACGCACACGCACACGCACACGCACGCGCACGCGCACGCACACACACAGCACACAGCTCGCCAACCTTCAGTGGGTTCATTATGTTCGACGCGGAGCATCTCGAATGAACAGGCAATATCACGCGGCTATTTGCCCCCACGTCCACAAAAAAGCGCACAACACAAATGCGTGAGCACCACTGTAGCTGAAAGCAGCCGACGGCCCAACCAATGTTTCTCGTTCCGCCCTCGACAACGCAATCCAGACCACACCAAACACCCCACCCCGCGCCCGCTTTTCGACTGCTTGCAAGCACAACTGATGCCATAACCACCACCAACCGACCTGGTGTGGATGTGCATCAAGGAGACGAACGGTGTCGAGTGGCCGCCCCGCGCTGGGTGGAGGCAGCATGTGATCTTGCAGGAGCTGCATCACATCCTGCCAGCGCCAACCAACGTGCAGGACAACGTACCAGTTAACACAACAGGGTCGACGCCAGTGAGCCAGTTAAGACAAATGCAACTCGGCTACAGCAACCGAAGAATAGCCAGGGGCACGAGACACAAAATAGGGCCAGATAAACGACGCAAAGGGCAAAGAGCGCGGGGGCGCGTGATACAGCAATACATGCACCAGCAACACACGCACATAGATGTCTACAAAGGTGTCCTGGTAGATGCGATACAGCCAAAAGGGGTTCATGCAGCACGTGTGCTGAGGAATCGACATGGTTTCACGAATCTACGCAACACGCGCAAGACACATGAAAGTCTGCATGTGAGCAAAGCAAGGCCGGCGTAGAAGACGAACATGACAGAGGCAAACACGCCCACAAGCACAGTCACAGAATACCCCATGCTCTCATTCCTGAATCCCATTCAACAACACACACACACACACACAAACGAACACACAAACACACACACACACACACACACACACACACACACACACACACACACACACAACCACGCATACATGCAAGGGGACAGCGTCGAGCCCTCGTCCCCCCCCCTTCCTCCGTAAATCCTTGGTCCTCACCTCCTCCTGCTGGCTTGGCGGAAGGTGTGCAATGCCGCCGAGATGCGCCGGGCGATCGGGGTGGGCAACGCTGTTGGCCTCAATCGTGTTGACCCAATGCACATACACCAGATCCAGGCCTTGGGACGAGGGGTGCACGGCGAGAGCGCGAGAGTGGGCGAATCAGAGGGTGCATGTGTGCACACATGTGAGCGTATGTTTGCGAGAGGGAAAGCGCGTGCGTGTGTGTTAGCATACGCGAGCAGCAATCGAGCACGTGAGTCCAATACAGCCAGCGTCAAAACGAAGCAGTCACAGTCACATTGACGGTTTGAATGGAAACGAAACAGATAGCATCATCAACAAGACAGGCAGCGATGTGTACCTGGGAGCTGGGCCATGGTGCGATATGGCGTGTAGTGTTCGGGCGGAACTGCAAATGGAAACAACTCCAGAAGGAGCGCGCCTGGCGGAAGAAACATTCCCATGATCATCATGGAGCCGTGCATGCCAATGGCTGCACGACAGGTGGACAGAATGGCCACTTGCTCCTCAAAAGTATGTGTCTCCATGCGCACAACAACGACGGGCACGTGAAATGCCGCGCGCAGCGTTCGGATCAGCTTCGCCTGCACAGGTGCAGCGGTGCAAAGCACATGCGAGCAAGTCAATCAGAGCACACATGCATACAACAGAAACAATTTGCGGGAGCCAGGGTGAAGCATTGCTGTACACCTGCACACCGCGCAATCCTAAGTTACACCTCGTTCAAGATGAAACGATTTCGCGTGCGCGAAAACACGGCAATAGGCGACTGTGGGCGGATGGCTGGCGGTGACACAGAAGATGAAGAAACTTGCGAAGAAGAAGAAGCAGCAGCAGGAGCAAGCTGCTCAAGCTTGGATATGAGGAAGCGGGCGAACACACGCAAATCCCTGCCATCAACGTCTTTGCTCTGAACACAACAACAGCAGCAACAACAATCGAAACAGGGCGGTGTCAGAGAATGTAGGAATTGGCAGTGCGCAAGGGAGTTGAGTCGCGTGCGTGTGACAGCCAAGCACAGACACACGCACATGCCATCGTAGGAGACAGCGTAGATTGCCAGCACACTACGTGCCTGGCAACCACCGCATTCAAACCCAATACCGGGAGTGGTCCTTGAGGATGCTCGAAGCCATAGTCATACCACGTACTGCCGTTGTATGTGCGTGTGTGCATTTGTTTAAGAGTGGAGGGGCGGAGGGAAGAGCGAGTGCGAGTATTTGGAAGAGGAAATAGTGAGCACAGGTGTGTGAGTAAAGTTGATGGAGTTTGGTCTGTGTGCTTGTGCCGATTAGCCAGAGGAGACACTGAGCAAGACAACGTTCTTTGAGGTTCGTGCGTACACGGTGTCGTGTACATGTCTGTACGCGGTAGAGAGCGATTGTGGGAGGCGCACACTCACGTGCGCTTGGAGATGCCAACGCGAAGGGAACTGCGAATCATGTTTGGCAAGCAAACATCCAGATCAAGGGGAGCAGCGAGGGTCACAAAGTAGGCACGTAAAACAAGGATCTATCGCGATGAAGAAAACTAACAAACAACCCGGCCAATACAATACACGCACACACACATACACGCATACACACACGCGCACACACGCGCGCACACACACACACCCATACACACGTACACACACACACACACACAAAATCACTATTATCGCTGACCTAAAGCAGGTGAGCTGGGCTGGGTCTTGTTGAAGGTGTTGAAGGTAGAGGATGTCGCGCTGTGTCAACAGCTCATACAGGCGCTGTGTGGAGAGGGACGTGGAAAACTCATCTGCACACACGAGCAACGCCCTGTTTTCGGCAGCAGCACCTGAGGGAGAGAGAGAAAGGGGGAAGGGTAGGGATGGGCAAGGGTAAAGGCTGTGTTCCTGCAGTCACAACAGTAGAGCGTGGAAGGAGGCGGGGGGGGGGAGCAAACCCACAGCGGCGCACCACAGTCTTGAATGCAATGAGCGTGCATGCATGCAAGCCTGCGCTTCAAGGTGGCGCACTGCAGAGACACGTACCGAACTCGCTGCGCAGTGTGAAGAAGAGAGGCAGCAGGTCGTCGTGCAGCACGTGCATGATGTTGTCTGGTTTGAATCGCCTGCGCAAGAGTTCGTGCATGTGCGTGCATGTGTGAACACAAGGGAGTGAGAGCAGGACAACACAGCACACCCAAGAACTAGTAGCAGCAGCGTTTACACACACAGAACCAGAGGCACACACAGAGGCATACACACACAGAGGCCCACAGGTGCACAGGCACATACACACACACACACACACACACACACACACACAGGCACACACAGACACACACACACACTAATACACACACACTAATACACACACACACACACACACACACACAGACGCAGTCACGCACAGACACGGACGCCAGCGTACCGAAAGAGGAGGGCCGGCTCGGTGATCATGGATATGTGGTGGTGCTCAAATTCAAAGTTGCGCGCTGGTGCAAAGTGCAAGATGCGTGGAACAGCGAGCACGTGAGCTGCGATGGCCGACATGTGGCGCTGGGGAGGTGGGTAGTAGTACAAGAGGGCAAACAAGTAGACTGATCCTATGAGAGACGCCTCGAAGGTTTACCTTGAAAGTCAATGTAGTTGAAGAATTGCACGTTGTGGTCCATGACAGATGACAGCGATGCAAGGGCTGGGCTATATCTGTTGTGAATGAATGTATGAGTGCAGGGTTGTGGGGTGCAACGAGTCAAGCTCAATAGCAATGGACAGCAGAGGCAGAGGGGGTTGGTCAGGCAAGCAGCAATAAGCAGGGGCAGACAGCAACCAACAGGGGCAGGCACAGAGCAGAGCGCTTCATTACTGTGCTTGCGTCTGCATGTGTGCTTCCGTCTGTACATGTGTGTGTGCTTGCGAATGTGCAGCACGTACACACGTGCAGGCAACCTACCGATCTTGAGGAACGTTTTCAAGGATTGTATCCGGTCCGTGAAAGAAGAGAAACTGTTGCTCACCGTCGCTGGTGGTGCGATAGCACACGTTCTGCAGGCTGCCATGGCGTGCATTCGCAGTGGTATTACATCAAACAACAGGCATGAGTTGCAACATGACCACCGTTACACGCAGACACGCGTACACACGCGCACTCAGACTCACATACACAGACACAGACACACATGCACACACATACATACGCACGCACACTCACACATACATACGCGCACCCAGACTCACAAACATAGAGACACACACAGACACACACCCAGACAGACAGACACACACACACACACACACACACACACACACACACGCATACACGTCAAGCCGAGACACGAGGACATGAGCGACTGACTGGCATCGGCGATGGTTGACGTCAGATGTGTTTGAGCAGAAAATGGATGATCCGGCTTGTAGGGTGTTGCGCAGAAAGGCCTGGCTATGATACAGGTCAGCCTGTGGTTGATCCTCTTGAGGCTGGTACTGCCCCTTAATGTGAGTCATTCCTTCGCCGCCAATACCGTCGCCGCCAATACCGTCGCCGCCAATACCGTCGCCGCCAATACCGTCGCCGCCAATACCGTCGCCGCCAATACCGTCGCCGCCGCCAGGTGTCGGCAACACCAGGTGCGGGACAGCGAACAGCAGGACAGGAAGCAGGACCACGACTGCCAGCACAAGTGCCAGGCACCTCGTCACTGAGCACCTGCACTCCTCCTGTTCGCCATAGCCGTGCGGGTAGGATAAGTGGCGGGTACGCTGGTGACCCAGCCACCACCATCGGCACCACCGGCACCACGCGTCACAGCAGGTGCATGCCTTGTGCCACTGCACCTGCGCCTGCACCCACAGCCAGCGCAAGCGAGTCCTTCCCCGCCGCCGCACAACAGCCGTTGCAGTCGTTTGCGCAACCGACACCATAATCTGCAGTCCACTGAAAGTGGCGGACGACGACTTCATCGAAATCATCAGCACCAGCCACCAGCCAGCCTCTCACCTCACACACACCTCCACACATTGGTTGACGCATCGACAGTGGGAGATGCGGGGGATGGTGCAGGCTGGGTTTGGCGCGATGCCGCTGGTGACACGGGTGGTTGTGGTGTTTCAGCTGCTCGGATTCATCATCGGTGCGTCATTTCCACAGGTCATCCCAGCCCTGTGTCTCCAACCAGCAACGGCCATCATGTATTTCCAACGTGAGTGTCGAGCCCTCGAGCGTTGTGTTGGTTCTGGAGTGCCAGCTCGCACGAACCAAGACACATGTGCATGCGGGCTGGAGACCTCGTGCTGACCACACACACACACACACACACACACACACACACACACACACACACACACACACTCACACACACACACTCACACACTCACACACTCACACACACACACTCACACTCATGTTCATGATCATGAGTACACTCAAGATTTACGCGCACACTCACATTCCCCCCCCAAACGCGCACTCGCACTCGGACACCAGTCCATCGGCTGTTCACATATGCTGTGATCCACAGGAACTTGATACACTTTGTGCTGAACATGATTGGGTTGCTGATGGTGTCGTCACGGCTAGAGACATCCATGGGCAGCGTGCGGTATGCACACATGTTCCTGGCCATGACAGCCGTCGTCGCCGTGACATATTGCATGGGCGCAGCGCTGGCGTACCTGATTGTGGGCATCAACTTCTCCTTCTGGAACATCTGCACCATCGGGCTGACCAGCCCTCTGCTGACCATGGCCGTCATCTACGTCTATTGCTTCTCCACCAGCTCCTCCGTGATCAGCGTGTACGGCCTACAGATGCCGCCCACAATCTTGCCGCCGCTCATGCTCATCTGCACCCACTTCCTCCCGACCACCTCCTTCTGGTGCAACTTCACGGGCCTGGTTATGGGGTACATGTACGTGCAAGGCGTCGTGCAACAGCGCATGCAGCTTTCTAGAAGCGCCGTGCTCACCCTGGAGTCTTCGACGCTTGGCCAGCGGCTCAGCACGTGGAATACGTTCGTGCGCTGCCCCGACGCCGCCCTCCCGACAAGGGCGACCACGGCGGCGTCAGCATCATCGTCATCAACAGGCACCACGACGCATGCAGCCATGGGGCGAGCGGCAGCATCGGACAGCGCTGCCGGGAGAGGAGGAGGAGGAGGATCGGGCTTCAGCGGCGACGCTGGTGGATTTGGTCGTGGTGAACCATCACGCGGCATGCAGCTGACATCGTCGTTGTCGTCGTCGTCGTTATCGTCGACACCAGCGTCGTCGTACGCGCGACCGTATGCGGCACGCGAGCCGGGTGCTGCTGTCACTGCGCCGCTCTCAACGAGCCGTGGTGCCGGCAGCGCTGCTGTGGGAGGGCACAGGGGGCAGCGGCAGGCTGCTGCGCACTCGCCCTACCAGCATTCGCAGCAACGACAGCAACGACAGCAACGACAGCCACCACAGCAACAACGACAACAGCAGTCACAGCAACAAGAACAGCAGCATGCATACTTTCAACCGATTGAGCGGTTCGAGGAAGAAGACTTTGACGACCTGGCCCAGCATCATGAAGATGACAATGATGATGATGATGACGATGATGATGACGATGAGCTTGAGTTTGTGGATGCGCGCGAACATTAGCAGTAGTGGCAGCACTTATTGTTCATCATGGAAGTATCCGCGTGTCGTTCACAGGCGCATGATGCACCAAGGCCACACTGCTAGCGTGTGCTGTTCTCGTTGTTGGTGTGCTTGGCTTGGAGTAACAGTTACACAGTTGCTGCGCAACACACACACACACACACACACCACATGCACATGCGCATGGTTGCTGCTTTGCTGTTGGTTGCCAACATTGGGGCGAGGGGGAATCGGGCTTTAAGTGTACACACGAGAGCAAGGGATAAACCAACATTGAATGACGTACAGGCAGGCAGGCAAGCAAGCACACAGTCAGACACACAGACAGACACACAGACACACAGACACACAGACACACACACACGCATACACATTGCTGATTGGCATTAGGAGGATGGAAAGTGACAAATTAGAGCAGACAGGCAAGACAATACGCCCTGAATCATCATCAGCACATCGCACGTGTCATTTCATGCAACATGAACAAGAGCGTGTTGGAGCAATAGGTGTTGTGTGTGGAAGTGTGGTTGAACGTCTAAAGGAACGCCTCCTCTTGGCTTCGTCGCACGCACGACCGCACCTGTGACGCGAGCATTTGTTGTTGGTGGTGGTGTATGTGTGTGGGGAAGCGGGGCAGCAGGTGTGGGGTGAGAGTGTGTTAATTGTGTCTGCACATGGACACATTCGTTGTGTGCACAATAATTTGCGTGCGTGCGTGTGTTGCGACATGCGTGCAAGTTCACGTTGCCCATACCTTCTTTTTGAACGTTTCCTTGTCTTCTCTCCATTCCTTTGCTGCCTCCAGGTTTGCAGGGGACTACACGACGAAGGCGGGAGAAGAAATATGGTGCACGTGTTTGACACGCGCGCACAAGTCGAAGATGGAGAAGTTGAGAAAGAAACAGAGAAAAGCTGGAGGCAGAGAGACAAGCACGCCAGCACTTACACACAGACATGCACAAAGACAGAAAGGAAGGGAGGCACACAGGCAGGCAAACAGGCAGACAGGCAGACACACGCACACAGTCAGACAGGCAGACAGTCAGACAGGCAGACACATACACACAAACACACAAGACCACACCTCGTCGTTGGGGTCCGCGAGCATGGACGTGACGGAGAGAAGGATGGTGGTGACGGTGTGCACGGGAAGCCAGCGTTCACTGGCATCCTCATAACCATACTCATCATCGCCGGGTGGATGCAGGATAGAGATGCACACGCGTCCATCCTCGTACACGTTCGGGTGCCAAGGAATGACCTTCATAGATTGCATGTATGCGCGTGCGTGTTGACGTCAAGGTTAAGGCTGACATGTCGCACGTGAAAGATACAGACACACACATACACACATACACACGTACGCATGCACACACACACATACACGCATGCACACACACACACACACACGCACGTGCACACACAGACACACACAGACACACACAGACACACACAGACACACACAGACACATACACAGATACACACGCGCGCACATGACATGTAACATACCTTGACAAAGCGCATTTTTGGCGGGTTGGAAGGGTAGTCCTTTGGAAACACAAGCTCTGCACAGAACATGGCCCCGTTGTATGGGCTGCCCTCCTGTGGCATGATCATCACCTGCAGGCATGTCATGATGATGGTGGTGAAGTGAGGACACGCGACTTGATGTGATGTGATGTGATGCGACACACATCATCATCACATCACGTGCCTATCCAACCGACACACATTCAAAGTAACAGCAGCAGCAGCAGACGGACATACCTCCCAATGGAAGATGTTGTCGTCTTTGAGGCCAGCGCTGAACCCATCGACGGGGTTCTTCTGCAGCTCCTTCAGCTGCCGCTGCAACAGCAATGCCGCTGTACCGCTCATCTCGCTGCGTGCTTGGCTTTGGCTTGTCGGTTGTTCCTTTGCTTGCTTCTTGCTTGTTGTTGTGCGAAAATAAATTCCACACACATACACACACACCACACACAACAACGGTCGTTGTTGCTCTTTTGTGTTTGTGTGCACGCACGCACGCTTTGCAGACTGTTCCGTCGCGTCCCTCCCCTCGCCTTCCACACTGTGCTCGAGATGCGTGTGCACATCTTCTTGATCGTTGACTTCCTGGCGCTTGGGTTTGCGGTGGCCACGCTGTACCTCATGTACCAAGGCCTACAACAGCACCGCGAGACCCGCAACCACCACGCCGACAACCTCCTCCTCCAAGACGACCTCGTCGCTGACGCGCTGTAACCAGCACGCGTGCTCCCTCCCACAACCATAGGATAGAACTTGGCCAGCATCATTAGGACAGTCAGCACCGCTAGAACCAACGCTCATCGCCCACTGCGGTTCCGGATCTCGCGGTTGCGTGGTGGGGTTGGCGTGTATGCAGTGTGTCGCTGTGACCGCGCACCAACCAAAGCCACTGCTGCCGCCAACTTACACCTCACCACATCTCATCTTCATCCACCCAGCCGCACTTGCACCTCTTTCGCGTTTCGACTCGTGGTTTCGGGTTCGGGTTCGTTCGTTTATTTCACATCATCATCATCATCGTCACCAACAACATCGACAGCAGCAGCAACAGCAACAGTGACGACAGCGTCGTCAAGTCAGCCGCGACGCGTCTCACAAGCAAACCAAGCACTCAAACCAAGCACCCCAATGCATGTGCGCGTGGGGTTGGCTATGCTTTGTAGTGCTGGATGGCGGAGAGCAGGTTGACGGCACTCTGCGCATCCTCCGTTTGCAGCAGCGCCTGTGCAAACAGCTCCATATTCGACTGCTGCTCGCTTCGCCTGCACCCGTGAGAGGCACCACACAACACACGGGCACACAACGGCGTGAGTCTTCTCCCGTGGTCGTCATCACAACACGCAACACGCAGCACAAGGGCACACCCACAACCAGCAGTACAATACACAAGCACAGCAAGCAGCACAAGACAAAAGGGTGGCCAGCACAAAAGGCACGCACGACCTCATGACACCAGCACGAGCAAACAACACGCTCGACTGCTGCTGCTGCTGCTGCTGCTTACCGTCTGGCCTGGACGACGCACTCAAGCTCGTGGCTCTTCTCCGTGGCCCGCGCCAACACGCTCTCGGGCAAGCTGTTGCACAGGAGCGGCGGGTGGGTTGTGGTTGTTGCAGTGTTGTTGGCGTGTGCTTGCGTGAGTGCTTGCGTGAGGTAGCTTGAGTTTGTGCGCGAGCGTGCAATGTGAACGAATACCACCGCGTTTGGTGGCATTGAGTAAATGATCGTAGGTACACACACACGCAAATGCCGCATGCAGTCAAAAAGACACACACACACACACACACACACACACACACAAGATACACAACGCACCAAGCGAGGCGGGCGACGTTGAGGCCGTAGCTTTTCTTCGCCAGGCCCTTGACGAGCTGGTGCAGGAAGAGAACGCGCTGTGGCGGCTGTGCCGATGGGGGCACGGATGTTGATGGTGGCGGCGGTGTTGTGGCTCCCTCCCGCACAGTCGTGTCATTGGTATCGCCAGCAGTGATGATCTCCAACGCTGCGACATCATCATCATCACCATCATCATCATCATCATCATCATCATCGTTGTCGCCGTTGTCATGGACACCAGCTCCCTTGTTGAGAGCACTGTTGGCAGCCATGGCTTGTTTGTCGTCGTCTTGTTGCTGTGTTGAGCAAAGTGACGCAACGGCATGGTGAGACACACGTCAACAAGCAACAGCAATACACACGAACACATACAAGAAAGCACACACATACGCAGACTAGGTGTCGCACCTCGACGAAGCTCATGTGTGAGCAGAGGACGTGCTGCGGATACAGCGCCGTGACCTCCGCCAAGCTCGGGTAGTGCGTGACAAACAGCGACAGGCACCGCAGCTGGTGGCGGGTCAAATCACAACACGCACGCACACACACACACACACACACACACACACACACACACACACACACACGCACACACAAGAGGCAGATGGTCGCGTTTGTGAGTGAGGACAGAGGGGTAAAGAAGCAGTGCGCGTGTGTAGAAGTGTGATTAGTCGCAGTACACCAGTGGACGGAATGGATGCACCTTGTCGATGAGATATTTCAACGTTGCGTGGGCAATGGCGACGCCGTCGTGCGTGGACGTGCCTGAAGCAGATGAAAAACAAACAAACAAACAAACAAGCATGAAAAACAAACAAACAAACAAACAAACAAGCATGAAAAA